TACTTTTCTACACTTTTTTAGAAATTGGCTGTCTTCACCAAGCACACAGTTCCCAGCTGACTCTGAATTTCCACAGGACTATTTTCATACTAAATCTTGCTGAATCAGCCTGAAGCTAGACAGACACTACCGTAACAGAAAAACACGGAAAGAGAAATGTGCCCATTCTGAGCAGCACGCCCCCCCCAACAAAACAGAGCTTCCTCATTACACTTTTTTAGAAATTGGCTGTCTTCACCAAGCACACAGTTCCCAGCTGACTCTGAATTTCCACAGGACTATTTTCATACTAAATCTTGCTGAATCAGCCTGAAGCTAGACAGACACTACCGTAACAGAAAAACACGGAAAGAGAAATGTGCCCATTCTGAGCAGCACGCCCCCCCCAACAAAACAGAGCTTCCTCATTTAAAAGCCAAAGAAGTTTCTGTTTCAAAGTTGCTAGTTTTAAAAAATCATCAACCCAGCCTTGGCTTCACAACTTTTAAGAATTTTTTGTGTATCAAGAAGGAGCAGAGGGAATTTCTTTACCTGCACTAGCCCCAGAGAAAGCATGCTTTCAAGGCCTTTACAGCAGCTCTTCTCCTCATAGCTAACATGTGCTATGCAGGGGACACCCCCAGACTTCATTTGCCACAGTGCAGGAGGGAACGTAAGAGAGGTCTACTTCAACTACAGTAATGTGTTTGCCTTTCCTCACTCTTTGAAAGACAGGAGCGATGAAGAAATTCAGAGGGGCCAGGGGAGCATTTGTTTCCTAACCTAATGTTTCTTATCAAATTGCTGTAATGAATTACTCCTTACTGTAATTTAATTTTAAATCTAAGTGGGTTTTTTTTTTTAGACATACTGGGATTATCAACGCCCTTAAAGCAAATTACACTAGCAGATTCCTTTACAAACGTACAACCGCTGTGTATGACTTCATTGCCTCAATTTCCTTTTCATTTTATATTCCTTAAATGCTTTCATATAGTGTAATAATTTTTTTTTCATTTAAAAAAATATTTCATAGAATCATAGAAGCATAGAACAGTTTGGGTTGGAAGGGACCTTTAAGGTCATCTAGTCCAACCCCCCTGCAATGAGCAGGGACATCTTCAACTAGATCAGGCTGCTCAGGGCCCCGTCCAATCTGACCTGGAATGTTCCCAGGGATGGGGCATCCACCACCTCTCTGGGCAACCTGTGCCAGTGTTCACCACCCTCAGCGTAAAAAATTTCTTCCTTATATCTAGTTTAAATCTACCCTCTTTTAGTTTAAAACCATTACCCCTTGTCCTATTGCAACAGGCCCTGCTAAAAACTCTGTCCCCACCTTTCTTATAAGCCCCCTTTAAGTACTGATCAGCTGCAATAAGGTCTCCCCAGAGCCTTCTCTTCTCTAGGCTGAACAACCCCAACTCTCTCAGCCTTTCTTCATAGGAGAGGTGTTCCATCCCCCTGACCATTGTTGTGTCCCTCCTGTGGACCCGCTCCAACAGGTCTGTGTCTTTCCTGTGCGGGGGACTCCACAGCTGGACATAGTACTCCATACTCCATTTCATATTTGGTTTCTATTTTTGACTTTAAATTATTTAAAATTAAAAATAGAATTATCACATGGAACACAAGGGGAAGTGCCTGATCTGTCCTATTGCTCAGCATGTATGCACAAACAATGTTCTTCACAAGCCTACTGCAGTACCCGAAGGCTCCTATCAAGCACCCAGTTTTCTCTTGTCTTTTAGATATTTGGTGCTATAAAATTTCCCTCCCTATTCAAAATGGCATATTTTCATCAGCAAAGCTGTTGCCTGCTGTCTCCCACCGTTTACTGGCAGAAAGTCAGCACTTGAAGATCCAAACTCTGAAGAACTTTACTACAGAAACTTTATAACCAAATTTACCCAGCTGTTATGGCCAAATGGCTGAGGGGCTTGCACGCTTTAAGGAGAACCATGACGTGCCTTCTCAGGTGCAGGATGCCATAAAAGGACCTTTTTTCAGAATGAAGGTCTCCAAGGAGGTCGCAGAGGAGATACTAAGCACAAGTTCTGTCCACTTCCAGCACAGCTGGTGCTCCTACATCCTTGAAGTGCTTCTGAAAAAAAATATCCCATGTAATTGAATGTTTTCCTGGACTACCTTTAAAACAACAGAGAAGGTAAAGTCAACTCAGCCTACTGAACCCAGCAAACATCTGGCGGTGGCTTTACCAGTTATGTTCTTCATCAACATAACACACAAAATTACGTGTGTTCTGACCACTAACTACCCTTGCTTATGGCAAAATTCCACCACATTCACTCAAACTCACTGCTGCCTAAATTCAGTAAAGCACACGGTAAGTCACCATTGGAGGCCACTCCACACCAGTCTGACAGCAGGAACTTTTTCTTGCTTACCTGCTTCCCATCAAGGGTGTTTTGACCATGCAGAGAAACACAAGATCCCATCAGAATACACCACCACCCCCCCACCACCCCCCAAAGAAACCATCTTTGCAATGATTCACATGCTACTTGCTAGGAGAGAAGGCTAAAGTTAGCACTGAACTTCTCACAGTCGCTTAAGGCTGATCCCTGTCTGCACCTCCTAAGTCTAATGTAGCCAGTTCAAGGTCTTTTCCCCACAAATTGCTGGGAACACACAGTCCCTGCCCCTGACCATTTACAGATCATACCAAGTAACTTTGCCAAGCCCTCGGAGGATGCAGAACACAAATGGATCCGAAGGGGACACAAACCTACCCAACACGCTTGGGAAGTTACTTTCTTGTGGCTAATCAAAGACAGCATGGAAGCACAGCTTTAGCATTTCTTTTTTCTGCTATCAGCAACATTAGCTCACTGAAGGACAGTATCAATGATGTCCTTACACAAAGACTAGATGTCCTTACACAGCATCACCAACAAGGTGCCACCTGGTGGCAAGGTGCTGCCTGGAAGTCCCTGCAGCTTCTCCTAGGGGCATGGCATGGCTGCTGGTGCAGCACTTTCCTCGGCAAGCGATGGAGCCCGGTGCCCATGCTCAGGACACCCCACACGTGCTGGATGTGGCAGATTTGCTGGCCATGCGCAGATCACACACGACAAACTATTGCAACATCTGTGTGCAGGTGAATCTCTGTGTGCTCAGGGTTGCCGCCCCTGCCAGAACAACCTGGGCCTCCTGGGGCTCATCCCTGTAAAGAAGAAAAGTGGTCTGAAAGCAGTGACCCAAGCTGCTCCGGCAGCTGGAGCCAGTGCCTCCTGCCAGGCTCCTGGAAGAAAGACGGCTCTGCCTCATCACATACCCACCTGCCTCAAGGCTGGCGTGATGGGTGAGGTGCTACGGGGCCACCAGGAAAGGCAGCAGTGGGCTGGATGAATTGCCTGGGAGGACCACAAACTGAATGGCTCTAAAGTGACCGCAACATTTCTCAGTCCTGTAGCTTCACCACTCCACTAGCTGTGTGAACAGGCATAGTTATGGTCTTGCCTTCCAGGTGTTTCATCTGCTGACGCAGCGGCTTGGTCCAGAGTTTTCCACACTTGGCCTACGGATCTTGAGATGGTTTGTTTGGTTTGGGATTTTTTTGCATGTGTGGGAAAAAAAATCCTAAGTAACTGACTTGAGTGAAATAATTGGATGAAGTTCAACAGCCTTCGTTCTGTGGGAGGAGGGAGTGGATGAACATAAGGAACCTGCTCCACTTCACGATTCAGGATAAAAAACCTAAAAAAATTCCATTCAACTACTCTGAAGGTACAAGATTCTTCAAAACAAACCAAATAACATCCTTCTTCCTATTTTTCATTATTAATGAATTGAAGAAACCCCAACAGTCTTCTGTTGCTCAGAGAGCTTGAAAAATTCCCACCCCACACTCAACTTGACAACAGCACCGGGCCGAGTACAAGTCTATCAGTTTCTCTTTTCTTGCATCAACTGCCCAAAAGGACATTACACAAACGTGAACTCCAGCAACAGAGGAGAAAAGTCCAATGGATTGGGAAAAAAACTGCTCTCCATGTAAAAGCTTGTGATTTTACAGTCAAAAAAACGCTGCTGGGCAAAGAAGGCAAAGAGAGAGGGGAGTAGGAAACAGGTATCCCCTAGGTTCGTCTCCAACACAGAAAAGCAGCAGTGTCTCCAAATTGTTTGTAACATGCCTCAGATCACAACTGGTCACATTCACAGTTATAAAAGAAAAAAAAAGAGATGGCATATTTAAGAGAATTATTTCCACATTAGATAGAAAAGAAACCCATTTTAAGTTTAGTAACAAACACGTTTAACAACATCTAAATGATACATTAAAAAAAGTGTAATAAAGAAATGCAGGGATATCACATTTACATACCCACCTGCATGTTTTCCTTTTTTCAAGTAAAGAGTTTCCTCTTCAGTATCTAACCGCTCACTATCTATTTTATTCCAGTCATGGTTATTTTTACTCCAGGCAACAGGTGGTGTGTCTGATAGCTGAAGCCCATAGACACTTAAATGTCAAAAAAGCCACCGAGATGTGACTTTAGGAACGTGCTTACTTACTGAAAAAATATTCCTGTATTTTTGAAAGCTGGAACATTAACGTTCAGAAGAGAGCCTCACGACGTCATCTCTTTTTAGAGGATGCAAACTAAAACTGAAAATACTTCAAGCTCAATCTTACAGAAAAAATATGAGAAGAAAGCGAGCAGATGACAGAGACCACGACAGAAGAAACCACAAGTTCCCTCCCCTCCAAAATAAGAGGCCAACTTCTGTTGGGTGCAGACGGGAACACGTACCAGCCAACACACAGATACAGATATTTGATAGTTAGGTAGCCAGCAATGTAAGCCCCGGAGGGATAAATTACCCCACCTTGCCGGTACTCGGCCATCTGACCGCCCAGTGTATTGCCATGGACAGGCTTTGGAGATTCGCAGCGAACGGCAAGTTCCCAGGTCCTGGCCTCCTCTTCCTCCGAACCACAGCCTCACCCCGTCGCAGGGCACCAGCACGAAACCCTGTGATGCACGGTTCGGCCGGGCGCAGGCTTTCTGCCTCCTGCTCCTCCACGTATGTGAACCGGACAGTTTCGTTACTAGTGACACCTGGCACATGACCAGGATTTCACCCTGCTTTCTCAGACTTAAAAAGATCTCGTACGTTTAATTAAGAGAAAGTGAAATTTGCCCAAGAAGGGCAAATAATTTTATTGGAGATGTTTCTGATTTTCTTGCTCTCCTACTATAGCAGGAAGAGAACGGTATCCCTTTGCATCCTTTGCTAGCATGAAACTAACGATTAGTATTTGACCTTGTAAATGTAAGCGGTAAAAAGATCTTGATACTCAGCCAACAGACTATTCAGACAACAAAATTAATTTCAACTGTCTGGAGAAAAAAGAACAAACAAAACAGGTTCATTTCTCTAGGCTAATTTTAATCTGATATTTAAATATGAAAAGATTAATAGATTAGGAAATGAGAGAAAAGTCATACCTCACTTCCAGATGAAAAACAAGACAGAGAAAAACTAAGTTCAACTTGTTCCTCTGGGAAAAAAAATGCAAATGCAAGAGAATTAGAAAAATTCTTAATACCAAAATACTTTACAACAGCTACCAATAAAAGTGACATACTTAGAGGGAGTTTAAATAAAAAAATTGCAAAACAAAGATTGGGTTAACGTTCATTTCATAGCAAGAATCTAGACACCATTTATAAAATAGAAACAAGATGTTTCTATAGAAACAAGCAACAACATAAAAAAAGCAACTGCACTGTATTCCCTTTACTCAGCTTTTACGACAACTCAAGTTTAGTATCAACAGTTGCTGGAACAAACTTCGAAATACCAGGAGCAGTTTTGCATTAAGGAGGTGAAAAGGCTTTTCCAGATACTGAACTTGTGCGCGTGCAGAGCAGAGAAGGCTTCAAGAGCAACAGAGGCTTCCCTCGATAAGCTGTGTTTGACTCCCATAATTTCAGGAGTAAGTTTCCCCACTAATACGGCACCAGATGAGAAAGTGTCACAGACAAGAACCCAGCACGGGAGGGTCGGAGGGAGAGGAAGCCTGCCTGCCCCCATGTTAAGATCTGCTGCCTCTCTCGCCCATTTTAGGCTGCTGTCTGCATTCTTCCTTACGCTCCTACTACTGTCCCACCCATGCTGCAATTTTACATAGAAACTAGATCAAAGCAATTTCTAATCCGTCTTTTCCTTACACCTGCAACACTTAATTTCCATAGGATTTTGTTTATCAAGGTTCCCCCACTAAAACTGGTCAGCCTGACCCAGCAGAAGGCTTGCAATCCACCGTATGTTCAGAGTGGTATCAATACATTGGCTTGCTGAAAAGCAACAGCTGTTAATTTTGCCTTTTAAAGAGAAGACATTTCTATTCACTTCTATCTCCAGAATACTTTTTTCTTCAAGAAAATGGGATCTTCACATTATTCAAGCAGAGCATGCCATCCTATCTATTGTAGGTGCTACAGGTATGTCTGAAGGGGCTTTTTTTTGTGGTTTTCTTCAAATGCTGTCAAGCCTCAGAAAACCCACTAATGCTTTTTAGAAAGTTATTATCACGTGTTATTACGCAGCTATGAACCTCTGCAGCAGAGTTAAATCATTTGTAGAGCCAGAGCAAATTTGGGATTAAGCCCTCCCTATCCGGTATTACTATTTTCGGTTCGGAAACAAATCCCAACAACTGCAAGCAGGAGAAACCTACAATTTTCAGATTATCTCAGTGTGGAATAAATTAGAACTAGGTTTCCAGCCTTAGGCACCACAGTTTCCACACATACAAGGTTACTTCAAAACATTCTTGGCCTCTACTGACTTATGACTGAAATGATACCGTTGCAGGCAACACGGCACACGTCCATCCTATAGTCCAATGAATAGCGAAACATTTACATGAGGGATACCACAAGGCTGTCGGTATTATCCTCTAGCTTTGTTTCTGCTCATTCTTTCCATGCTGGAGAAATACTAGTGATATCAGACACTTATTCAAAAAGTTCAGGACTTGTACTTGGCTAAGACACCCATACCTCTTCAACATAACTCTCAATGGGAAACACCAAAAACCTTTTGTAGTAACTTCTCTAAATCTGAACCCGTCCATTAGAAGATAAAATACTCCACTTGCAGAGATAGAACACTGTTCAAAATAATAACAAAACACCCCAAAGGGTTACAAACTCAGGTTGATGAAAAGGTGATCGACTAAGCTAATTTATCTACTTGGGAATACACGTATCACTATTAACTCTGCATTTAGACATTTTCTAGGAGAAGTGTTGGTTTTAGCCTAGCTGTCGGACAGCACTTTGGATTCTGTGTTTCCTAACCAGCACTGGGTGGAGATCCTGGCCTCACTGAAGCGACTGGGAATTTTGCCATTGCCTTCAACTTAAGATTACAAGAGACTAAACCCCATTACAGCCCAGACAGACAATTTTACGTACAGAAAAGCGCCACAGTGCCACAGCTCTCAGGAACTCTGTCTGCTGTAACACAGCTTGGCTTCAAGGTCCCCATGGATGAACCGGGTGTTGTGTCTCCCGCTAACACCACCTCACGCCCTACTGCAATGCAGGACTTTTGCCTCACCTTTTATTACTGCACACTCGCATGCATTCCACCTTTCTATTCTTATTTCATGGTTTAATTTATAGGTGCTGATGAGATTTAGACTGTAGTAATATGACAAAGACTAACCTATTTTAGAAAGTGGGTTAGGGAAGGAGATTTGAGGTCCTTAACTCTAGCGATATTGACAACACAAGGACAACTTGTGCGCCTGACTAACTATCAACAGTTAGGACAAAACTGTGAACGCACAGGGTGAAGCAACAACCTACTCCCATGGCTTCAGGAGCCGCCGAATCTTTCGGTGCCTTCACATACCACTTGTGAACACCAGCAGTGCAATACAGGAGAGGTAGAACAAACTACCCAGGTTCTGCAGCGCTTCGAAGACTAAAGTAAGGGTAATTATTCTCATCTTTGCATGCAAACCTACAAAGGATATTAATCACATTATCATCCAGTTCAGCTTTTAAATCTAATCACTGAAGTAGGTAATTCTACAGTCTATTGCAATAATGAATTCCAAAGGCTAGGTATAACATTTAGTAACATATCTTTCTATTCTCTTAAAAATGTACCTGTCAGGAGTTTCATTAAGCACGTCCTTGCTGACATAATAATAAGCTTCAATAGAAAATTAAAGACAGAGGGTTTGGCGTTAAACAAATAGATTTATTTCCTACCGAGTACTCTCATTTAAAAAAACATTAAAGGGTGCATACATTATTATTTAAGTCCTGCTTGTCAGGAAGGTATTCGTTCAGCATTATGTTACTAGGTATGATCTTACACAAACCGAGTTTATTTTGGAGGAAATGGGAAAAAGCAAATCACACCCAGGTTACCAGCCCCAGATTCTCACCTAAAAAAAGCTCTCAAAAAAGGCCAAAGGATTTGCTCTCACGCAGGCTTTACTTTACACCAGCTGAGAGAAGTAAGAATTTACACCATCATCAAAGCAGGTTTTGACTCGTTTCTTTCGCATCGCATGTAACACTAAGGTGGCGTGCATATTTATACTTCAGAAGAGAACACGAAACGGGAAAACACGGGCTGAAGACCAGCAGTTATCTTAACAGTGCACACACCCTCAGCAAACAGCAACAACGCTAGGCCTCCACAAGGGACTCCAGGTAAGGACCCAGCCTGGAAACAGGATTCCTGCCTGCTGGAACAGCAGGGTTCAGCAAGAGCCCCTCCATCAGAGCAGAAAGGGCAGGGGGAACCGATCGTTTAGAGAGAAAGCTAGACACATGCATGAAAGCAAAAAAAATGACAGCGCATGACTAGCCTTGATGACCCAGGAACCCCTCCAAATCAAGCTACATGTCTGTGTTTCTCTTGAGCAAGAGAATCTGGGACCTTCTGCCAAAGTTTGCAGCAAGTGTATGTACCGCTAAATCCTCACCTAGCTTTAGTCTT